AAATTTATTCATGCCCAGAATTATTAAAACAAATTCCACTGCACTATTTTGCATCAATATCATTATGTGTGATTTTGCCTGGGGGTATTGAGTCAATGTGTAATGCTTGTAATACTGTTTTTCAATCATGGTTTGTTATAATGTCATTTCAAAGACTCGTTTTTCCCTCTGACTTATTTGTCATCTTATTTGTAGCTGGATTAGGACCTGATTAAAGCAGGCATGGTAATGTGCATATTACTACAGAAAATACCAGTTAAACATGAAATTTATATTTGGAGCATAATAAAATGTCAGAGGCACTTCAAATTATTTGCTGCTGAAAGTCCTTATGATATCATCAGAGAGAAAGTGCACAGCATCTACACAGTGCTGTGGAACATTACTGTTGAACTTGATGAAATCCTTCACATTGCCAGCACAATTAGTACTTCAGGATTTATGGTCTATAATTATCATGAAATTGTACTGTTGATAGTCCCATTTATAAACACATCATAAATATTTAGCAAAATGCCTAATTACAATGAAAGCAAAAATCGCCAACACTGTTTCAGAACAAAGCCTCTGCAAAAACAAATAGGAAAAGAATGGAAAAACAGATGGAAGGAAAAACACCTGATGGTTGTTATATTGCTTAGGGAAGTAAATGGAAGATGCTCACATCAATAAGAAAATGTAAAAAATGTGTTGATCATAATGAAGATAAATACTTTTCAGAGTAAAAGATATTAGTGGGTAATTTTTGAATGATTCCTTAGGGCTTGAATCTGTCTCCTTTTCTCATGAAGCGATTCCTTTTCCTGAGAATATTGTCTCCCTGACTACTGATGGAGTAAGACGGCTGGCGAGTTGTAGGAATGTAATGAGCAATGAGAAGTTTGATTTTTTATTTTTTTTTATTTTTTTCATGTTACTTCCTGACAAGATTGATACCACACAACATAATCACTGAATACGATGATTTAAAACTTCTTATGCAATAAGAGAAGCACATTGCACGTTTTTCTCTGGAAATTGCTTTGCTTAGGTTTTCTTTCCTTTTCTTGCTGTTGTCTTCCATAATTGGAAAATCATTTAGCTAGCTGTGAAAGTTACTGATTACCGTCCTCCTTGTTACCATCCTGTCTACCTTAATGAGCGAGCTAATGCTTTCAAAGAAGTAACCACCGTTTAATGGATTGATAGTAGGCTGTATTCCTATACTTTCAGTGTAGATAGAAGGTGCTTAGGCTCCTATTGTGCAGTGTGTTGCAGGAACTTATAGATCTGCTGCAACTCTTTCTCTACAGTTGTGTTACATAATTCTGGGGCTGTAACTGGACTACATTTGTATTTGCTAAACAAGCTCTGAGCAGATTCATGTTTTCCACAAAGTATAACATTGCTACTGCAGGATCTCTTTTTGCTAGTAAACTATTTTTGAACAGAAAGTGATTGAAATACTGTAAATTTGCAACATCCTTCCTCACCTTTCCCAAGGAGGTACTTTTGCCAAGTTAGCAGGTCACCACCTGCACCATACTCTCAGAGACGTTCTTGCAGAAATCCATTAAGATGAAACAAAAATCAGTTGGCTTTTTAAATTATTATTATTCAATCAGTTTCAAGACTTTATTAAGATTTGAAAAAAGTTTAGCTGGACGTTGCTTTTCCCCCATCCTTTCTTTTTATTAAGTTCTGTTCTAGGCACCCTGTCATTCTTGCTTTTTGGCTAGTGACTGAAGCAAATTTTTTATTTTACCTTGATACGGTACCAAAGGCTATCCTGGAAAAGCAGGGGGGACTAAAGTTGTTAGTGCTGTAGGCAGCCTTCAGTGGTTTTTGTTAAGATTGATTTATTTCACACAAGGACTGTGCTTCAGTTCAAACAGCACCACTGCTTTTATATAAGAATTGTGATAAAATCATTTTCAGCTATTTATAACTTTTCATAAGGTTCAGATGTTTGGAGAAACAGTATCTTTTCACTTTTCATGTAATAAACCTCTGTCAGGATACTGTAAGCTGGGTATGAGTGTACTGCTCCATTGGCCTTTCATATCTAGAGGTGTGGTTTCACATCTTGGAAGATACTGCAAGCAACATAAGTAGCCTCATCTCTACATTATTCCTAAAAAGTTTTTTAAAAGTCTTTAATGCACAGGGCACTTCTCTGAAGCAACAAATAGATGCACAATATACATTTAAATGTATTGTAGTATCTTTAGCTGTGGTTTATTAAGCAAATGCTGCTGTTAAAAGCTTTCATCTAGACTTGACTTTACCAACAAAACAGATTTTTAAAATGGACTTAGGCCAAGCACAATGGACAGTTAAGTTCCAGTTTTTCAAATGACAATCTGTCCTCTTTTCTTCCTTTGTTTATTTGTCATTGTCATGCTTACTGCCACTGTGATAATTCCAGACGTGTAAAGAGATGGGAGTTCAATCTGCTTGGTATTTATCATGCAGTATACTGCATGTATTACAAATTATCATGCTGCCACTTATAGCTCCATTTTAATAATTTATAAATGAGGAGCAAATAGTAAGGTAATTAAGCTAATGTAGATGGATGTCACCTGCCATACTCTACATAAAAAGTAGTGAGAGCAGACCACATTTAAATGAGCAAATCACAAACTACCCTATGTAAGAGGTTGCCATTTTAAACTATGTAACATTATTAGGCTAAAATGAAAGGTTAGAGTAAATTATATGGCATATATGGTAAATTAATGACATCCCCCAAAACCTACCCAGAGGCCAAGCCTTACCAAAAACTACCTTTCTGATTTGCTAAGATAATATTGTTGGCAATACTCTGTCCATGTTTCTCTCCCTCCCACTTTATTTGATGAAGCAGTATGCCAGGAAGAGTCCACAGGGACCCTAATGATTATGGCCTTCAGGGTTTCTTGCAAAAAAAGGAGGTTTGCCTCCTCCACGATACCACAGGTTTTTAGAGACTAATGAAACCCCCTGGGGTATGACTGCATCCTCTCTGAATTGCTGCTGTACAGCAACAGAGACGTTTGCTCTGTGAAAAGGGTACGAAAAGTGGAATGAAATTCTTTGGACTTGAAAGGGCTTGATTTTCTATGACTTATTCAAAAATGAACTCTCAAATAATATACATGTGTGTGGTATACAAAGTCAATAAAATCAGTATTTGGCCCTCAAAAGACAGATGCACTGTTGGCCTATCCCAATCTATATGTATAAAAGTAGAAATCTACTCTATTGATTAGTAGTTTCCTTTAGCTGGTTTCAGTGCAGTAAAATGTGAAGGGAAACCAAACAACAGTAGTGGTGCTACAACTGTTTGAACTTCGGCAGTGCTAGTTATGAAACCCTCACATAGTGCTAGCTCTGTATCTTCACTCTCTGGTTCTGTTTTAATGAAAATAATATTGATCATTAACGCCAGAATGAAAAAGAAGTAGCAGTCCACATCTGAAAAGATTTGGATGGCAGCTATTCTATATTAAACGTAGTTAGTGGTCATGTTTACAACCACAAATGTAATATTTAAACCCATTGAAAGAGCAGAATTCATTAAATTGGATAAGAGCAAAGTGATACTAGCTGTTTCAGAGTATGTGTGTGTACATATAGATGGATATATTTTTTGGTTTGCTTGATATTGATCAGACATGTCTTGGCACTTGAATATCAGTAAGAAGCTGCAAAAAATTCACAACTGGGCAGGCAGTTCATTAGTTACTTTTTCTCTTGAACAAAAGGGAAAAGGAAGAAAGAACAGAACTGAAAGCAATAATCAAATTCATATCACTGTCTAAGCTCTGCATAGATCGACAAAGAAGGAAAATAATAGGTTAGTATTAACATTAATAACACTTACATTACCAAAACAGTTGGCAGATATCAGCTAGAGATTCAATTAGAAAGGTGGCTTATAGCTACTGAATAGTATTCAGTATCTGCTACTTTGTATTAGAAATTTTCCCTGTCAAATTTTCCCTTATTTCCCAAGCAAATGAAATAAGTTGCGCTTGCAGAAATATATAAAGTGACAGAACAAAAAATATGGGATATAATTTAGAGTTCCAGAGATAAGAAGTGCTTCTATTAACAGGATCTATAACATACATCTACAGATGTAAGATTTTTTTCCTTTCCATTTTTTTTTCTCAATAATGTATGTATGGATTGCCTCTCTTGTTCATAATAATAGTGTTAAAACAATTACAAATGAATAATTAAAAAAAAAATCCTGTCCTCCCAGAACATGAGGTAAGGAAGAAACATGTCTGGTAATGCCACTTAAAGGGTAGTGTTCAATCTTTTCTTTTTTTTCCTTTTTTCCCCCCTCTTTCTCTTCCTTTTTCCTTTTCTTTTTTTCCCCCTTTCTATATGAAAAAGAATTCCCCTAGTGAGTCTTCCATAGATAATTTTATTCCATATTTTTTTATTTAAACTTCCTTGAAATAAAATGCACAAATGTTTATGCTTTAAAAGCACAATAACAGACAATATTTTGAACCAGAAATTCATTATGGCTCTGTGATTATTTTCAGATTTTCATGCTCTAGCAATATGTGGTAGACTCTAGTCTAGCCCCCAACGTAAGAGGTTCTAGTGGAGTACAAATGAGGCACAATAGTTCAAATTCCCTTTATTTCACTTATAGAATTCATTTTCTAAGAAAGAGAAACCAATGATCTTATTAAGAAGGTCAAACTATTTACCTTCTTGGCAGGGAAAAATATATTTTATTTTAGTTCTTATTCTTATGCACATAGATTTGAAAAAGTAAATCAAACTAGTTGTAAAACAGACATTAGTAATGAAAAGCTCTGCGGTATTAGAACTATTTTTAACTGGTTTTCTCACTTCACTGTTGTCCTTGAGCATAGTAATGAAGAGAATGTATTCTGTTGAGGATAGTATGGATAGAACTGTCAAAATCTAGCCTCATTTTTAAACAGCAGAAACATCAATTGAAATTTGCTTCCAAGACCCTTATTGACTACTTTTTTTTAATTCTTTCACAGAGGATCTTTCTCAAAGCTGGAAGTGAGGAAGAAATCTTTGCCCATCTTGGCCTGGATTATGTCGAACCATGGGAAAGAAACGCATAAAGTCATTTGCCACTGTACATTCATCATTAGACACCAATGATCTTTGTGCCTAATTCCCAGTCCACATTAGAGATATAGGCTACATGTGTATCTATGGCAGCTATATATTTTTAAAAATACATTAGTTACTAGTTGCTATACATGCTGATGCTCCTAGAAAAGAAAAATTTAAATTCTTAAAAATTCCTTTCAATTTTTTAACTCTGAGTCACTGAAGTTTCATAAAGTGGAGTAGAACTTGGAGAATTTTTTTTCAGTGATAACTTGAGACTATGAGATTTTTTTTGCTTGGAGTATGAACTTACAATTACTGTAAATATAATGCTTCCTTGTTAAAATACTGTCAGTTATGGCAATATTTAAATAATGCAAGATACTTGGGATAAAATTCAGAAAATTACTGAAGTACATTCTTAGCTTTAACTGAATTTCTTAAGTATTTTGCTGAATCCATATATAAAATTGCTACTGCATATAAAGTTTAAAGGTCTAGGAAGTAATTATTCTGGCATTCTCAGCAAGATGAGGCTTCAGCTGTAATACTTGTCCAGGCTGAGGCATTGTGCTACAAAAACTATAAACAAGTTGGAGAAAACTCTGAGAGAGTTAGAAAACACGACATCTGCAGGAATTTGGGAAAAGAAAAATAGAATAATTTAGTAGAAGTTTGCAGCTCTAGGGAAAGTTTTTTTATCAACTCAGGGTACTAATTTGGACTAAAGATGATTCATGTTGTGATGTCCTTTGAATAAGGATTTGAGTCATGACCTATATCAAAACAACTGCTTTAACTGTGAAGCTGCTCTGTGGTCGATGCTTTTAATTGTCTGCACTCTAAAGAGATTACTGGAAATTTGATTATTTATTAATAGCTAAATGCATTTGAATGGGAAGCTTAACTGTGATATTTGGTTGTTCTAGAATGGCATTTCCTCTTTTTGATCAGAAATTAATCTTGGATGTGAGACCATTTTTCTGATGAGAGTACTCCAATGAGACATTTTAGTTTCAAAAACTTCAAGTAGCTCCTGTGATAGAGATGATAATGACCAATTTGTAATACATTTATTCTTCAATGAACATGGGCATTTATTATTTGAACACATACTTATTTAATGGCCATTCACTTGATATTTTTAGAATAAAGGTGATTGGGAATACCATGGCTAGTCAACTAATTGTGTTCTTAAGTGACTGACCATTTTTCCCTGTTAAAGCCAATTTCACAGCTTGGCCTGATAGGGAAAAAAATAGCAGAGTCCATGCACAGCAATTACAACTGACAGTAATGCCCTTCCATCTTCAAACAATGGCAATTTTCCCCTGAAGGTTCTACATATGTTTAAAATATGCCAAGGTTTAGAAATACAGTGCTTACCTACATGATGAATTACATGAAATAGGAAGTTCGTATTGTTAGTACAGTAGATAATACAGTACAAGTATTAATAAAAATTCCAGTGTACATTTTTACATGCAATCCCTCCCTTTCTGCTTATTCAAATAGGTGCTAGCTGTATTTCTGATAAATGAGTACATTATTATGGACTTTGGACTATTAAAAACACTTTATAAAACCTATAAAAACCCCCTGAACCTATCAAATTCTATATACTCAGTGCTTAAATTTTGTACAATACAGTTTTGACATCCTGCATTCTATCTCATCTTCTCTATTAAAATTACCTCATTCAATTTAAAGGAATTATTAATCTGAGTAAAGTGTTATAGGCCACAGGGTCAGGCCCACAAGTGACTGTGGAAAACTGAAGGCTATTTCCAAACAAAGAATCAGTTTTGAAGTAAAACTTTTGCACTGTTCAATAGATACTGCCATCTGGCTCATAGGTTGTAGGGAGATTTCCAAAGGAAACAATTCTGGAGGAAAAAAAAGAGAGATGAAAGCTAACCAAAAATGGCTCTACCATGCTTACAGCAAGAAATTCTTGCTATGCTATGAACCCTTTCTATAATTTTATATATTATTTTATATGCAATTCAAATTCTTTAAGCATAATATGTTTTTACTAGAAAAACAGGTAAGACTCTTTTTACAAATATAGTTATATGAACATTTTGAAGCCAAGAAAAAGATATGATCTTTTTTTCACTGGTCCTATTCAATCAGGAAATGGATATTTAAAAGGAATGAATTGTAAACCATTCTAAAACCTAAGCCAGGGAAGGAGGAAAATGTGATAACAGCATGGAATTTTATTCCTGCCTGTGCCAATAAACTCATCCTTTTTAAGTACAGCTTTGCTAACTGAGCTGGAAATATAACACTGCTTTCTAAATTGCTCTAACTAGAAAGCACTGGCGCTGCTTCCTGCTTTATCATGCTGATACGTGAAGCACCTTCTCTATGTTGTGCATCAGGATGCTGACACTTAAGCAGTAATGTGATTTTTTCAGTCCTGATGCAAGAGAACAAAAGCTCTGGTACTTTATCTAAAAACACTCCTTGCTTGGCAAAAGAACTATCAAACATTCTGATTTCTATATAAAGGAATATTTGAAATGTCCAACTTGCATCTTGCCTGTGTGTTATTTATAACTGCAACTATGAGGGAGAAGATTTTGTCAGATCCTTCAGGCTTGGAAAAAAAAAAACAGCATAGCAGTTATTCTCTTCTTTCCTTCTTTCCTTTTTTTCTTTTAACTTTTTTTAGAATATATTTTACAGAGAATGAAGAACTGGATTACTAACTGGATCAAGAATGACCAAGAATTATGGTTATCAAGCAAAGGTTTAGACAGGAGGTCATATTAGATGATCAAGAATGTCTGATGCTGAAGATGACAGCTTGTTATGAGCATCCCAATCCAACCTGATCCATAAAAGTACTCAAGTCGTCTTGCACTGTAGTGGAACTGTTGGAATCAATGGTGATGGTGCTCCCAAACTCCAGGAGCACAGGTGGGGTGGGCAGGAGGCTGAAAAGGTCAGATACTTGTAGGAAAAGCAGACTGATGTCTGCAAAGGCAGGAGGGAAAGAGAATTTCAGATCAATACACCTAATACCTATTAAATTGTTAGAATGATTAATAGACTTTATTTTTTAAGCACCTAGAGGAAAATAAAATGATAAATTATTGATAACATGGGTTCATCAGAAACAAATCAGATCAAACTAACACAAGTGCTAAAGTCCCTAGAGGTTAATTTTTAAAATGTCTATCTCTCCTCCCCTGCTTCTATGCCAAGGCAATTTGGCAAGCAGCAAGAAGAGAAGGATCATTGGTTTTATAAGCATCTACATACTAACTCTCTAAAAATTAATCAGTGACTTCACATCTAGAAGAAAAATATATAAAAGTATAAATAAAATATATATATAAAATATATAAAAATAAGAAAAAAAAACATTAAATTTCTTTCATCATATATAGATTTTTCCATTTTAAAATTCTGAACAACCACAAATAGACCACTGAGTGAAATAGATTAATCAGGTCTTGGGGTTAATAGGTTAATTGAAGAAAGTGAAGAGTCACATAAACAAATGAAGATAGAGAGCCCTGAAAACCTTATATTGAGGTAAGCTTCGGCTTGAAAGGCTGTCAGTCCAGCTAGGAGCCAAATGCCACGAGTTTTGCCTTTAAGGGCCAAACAGGAGCCCTTAAGTATTATGTGTGTGCATCATGTGTATGCATCATGCATAGGGCTGAACCAGAGCTTAAGAGCTCTTCACTTCCAAATTCAGCTAATTAGCTGGGCTGTGTGCATGTGTATGTACATGTGCTTGAAGCTTTTATTTTTTTTCCCCTTTCTTTCTAATGTGTAATTTTACTCAAAGGACCAAGCAGTCTTTACTCCCGCTGTGTAGCTATGCTAAGTGCCTTTTACTTTAATCAGGATGCATCAGGTGTGACTCATTTTAGCTGATGATGTTTCCTTAGAAAAAAGATTGGTGCGTTCCTCCAAGAAAGAAGTCAAGATGTCGGGGGGAGCAGGCAGAAGTCTTGTGTGGACAAGCAAAATGCTCTTGGGAAATTTAAAAAGAGATCCCACAATGTGGAAGAAGGATCAGACCACGCAGGAACGTTGTCAGAGAACGCAGGGATGCAATAAGGAAGACCAAGGCCCATTTGGGATTAGAGTTAGCAAGAGATGTTAGAGATAATTTGAAGGGCTTCTACAAGTACAGCAGCAGAAAGAGGAAGACTAGGGAGAAAGTGGGCCTGCTGCTGAACAGGGTAGGTGCCTTGGTGACAGGATTCAGAGAAGGCAGAGATAGTAAATGCCTTCTTTGCTTCAGCCTTTACTGCTAAGGCTAGTCCTCATGAACTACAAAGCTCAATACAAGAGAGAGGAAGACTTTCTGCTGGTTGGGGAGGATTGGATTAGAGATTGTTTAGGCAAACTGGACAGCCATAAACCTATGGGCATAGATGGGATGCACCTGTGGATGCTGAGGGAATTGGCAGGCATTATTGCAAAGACACTCTCCACCATCTTTGAGAGGTCATGGAGAGTGAGATAGGTGCTGGAGGACTCCCAGTTTCACAATTCAGTCCTTGCTGGCCTGTAGAAAATTGTTTACTGATTGATTTTCACACCTGGCAATTGCTCACACCTGCCTCTTCAGAGGAAACAGGAACCTTCTCCTTTCCTTCCCTTTATAATTTTACAGATGTGGCAATGTAAGTAGCAGTGAGAAGCTAGCATTTACCATCCCTGTGGATGTGTAGTGGTTAACAAAATAGTGAAAATTATTATAATTTTTAAATTAAAAAAAATAAAAAGGACAAAGTCTGTCCTCTCAGCTCAAGCTCAAGGGAGTTTTCTCATGATTCAAAACACAGATCAATTTATAGTACTTCGTGGCCTAAAGCCAAATATACTCTGTTCCAGTATCACCTCACACAAAGGCAAATCGTAACTAGAACAGGGTTCCTTCAACCAGCCCTTTGTGAACCTCATTCAAACCCTTGAATGTATTTAAATGATTTAAATCCTTGAATATATTTAAAAGCTTTAGGCACTGTGTGTTATAGCTAGCCCGTAAAACCCAACCTATTTTCTCATACCAGTGTCTAACACAGACAAACTCTGGGGTTGCGTTGGGGTTGCTCCTGAACACGTGTCCCAGAAGCCCAGGGCCACAGCCAAAAGTGAGAGCACCTGGTTTAGCCAGGGCACTTCTGCCGATGGACTATGAGGACTGCAGCACATGCTGGTAAGTTCGAAGTGCTGCCTTGTTTGCTATTTTGGGTCTTTTTTTAATGTGTTTATTTTTTGTTTTTTTGGGTTTTTTTTTTTTTCTTTGGATTGTTCAAGGCATTATACTGCTCCATGTTATACTGGTTTTCGTGTTCCATTCTCTCCAAACTGAGTGCTCTAGTTCAGAGGGGTTTCCAGAAATGGCTACGCT